TCTCAGCCTTAGCTGTGCGTCTTTCCAGTTTCTCTTGCTTTCTTGCTGTACCATTATTTAGTCCCTAGAGCAGTGCTTGCATACAGCAGGCACTTACTACTGGCCCAGTGAATGGCAGCACATAGGTGGGCTTCTCTGCCGGCTGGCTTTCCTCCAGATCAGTTTGTTTGAGCAACTGTCAGCTTTCCTTTTGACTTAGCACCCTTGTCCTTCCAGACAGGCTGCAGAGAGTGGGACTCATTCTCTGTGTTCAGCTCACAGTACTTGCTTGGGGTAGAGTTCCCAACTAATGACTGTCTTTTCTAGAAGCCAGGAAGTAATTAGGGGTTACCCTCTGCTGCCTGGGGAGGGGCATGGTACCAAGTTCCTCAGTGAGAGAGTGGGATGCCAGAACCTTCCTAGTCTGGTGCTGCTCAGACACTGCTGCCTCTGATTTGTAACTGATCAAAGTCATGTGGTTTCCTCCTCGTGGGGGTGGGGGCACTCTGGCGTAGGGTATTTGGTTATTCTGCATTCTTCCTGTTTCTGGGATGGCTGCAAGGGCCGGGAAACAAGGGTAGAACCCCCATATCTGTCAGGAGTTCAAGTATAGCTAGCCAGAGTACTAACTGTGGTCTGGGTGGAAAGTCTCACTCTAATTTTGTCTGCCAACTGTTACTAAATCACACACACACACACACACACACACACACACACACACACACTGATGAGAAGTTCATTTTGTCATCTGGTAAATGTGAGCACTGCAAGTTCTCCTTTTGAAAAGCACACCAGGGTAAGCAAAGAGAGTTCATGCCAGTGTTACAGAGCTTCTGTTTAAACATCCCAGCTAGTCTTTGCTTTTTCTCCTCGTAATGCAGCACAGAGCATTGGGGACAGGTCCAATCCATTGGCATCTCACATACTGTTTGGTTTGAAGCGTATACTGCGGTCCAGTAGCTCATCTTTGGGTCATGTCTTACACAGGCAATAGGTCAACAGCAGTGTATTTCTAAGCCACACAGTGTGGTAGAGAGGGTCTGGGGCTTGTTCCTCAGTGACTCTGAAACATGGCTCCAAACGGGTGATCTAGTTCCAGCAGGAGCACGTCTTCAATGGGTCTTCTGAAAACTTTATCTCTGAGAAGTACCTCTTATTGTCCATAGGCTGATGCCCCCTCCTGCCACCTCCTCTCTTTGAGAATAATGGGAACAGAACCTAGGCCTTGCACATGCTAGTCATGTGATCTACCATGGAGGTGCACTCTCAGTCTCCAGAAGCACATCTTAGATGTGCAACTTCATTATCACCTTTGCCCAGATGCCAGCTCTCTGTGAATTCACTGTTAGCTCCAGTCCTGCATCTTCCATTACCCATGTGGTGGTTTTCTCTTGTGATTATAGGATCCTTTGATCCACCTCCCTCATTAAAACCAAGAAAGTCCAGAGAAGTAGTGTGGCTTTGCCAAATGCCCTCAATCAGAAAGACAGGGTGTCAGATTTGTCTATTTTCCAGCACACAGATGACATTCTGTTCACACTGTCCACGGAAGGCAGAACATCTCTGTACACTCAACACAATGTCAAACCAAGTCCTCCAAGTCTGGCTCTGCCTCCTGAGTTTTTCGTCTCTATGAAATAGAAGCTCTGAGAAGGCAGAGCTCACAGGTCCATACACGACTCTCTAACTCTCTGCTGCTTCTGTCCAGAATAGCATTCATGAGGAGCTCAAGTTTTATCTTGATGTATGCATGGATGACTATGGGAACTAGCCATCGCTGTGTTGTCTGAGCCTGGACCTCCTCAACCGTTGACACTTCTTTCCCCAGGTTCTAAGGAATCTCCAAACACTATGTACTATTGATGTGGTTCCTACTCGATCCTCCTTTAGGTTCTACATCTCTTTACTTATCTCCCAAGGTCCAGCCCTTATGTCCTTGGGCCATCAAGAACTTCATCTCTTAGCCCTCCCCGACCACCAGCCTTCCCTTCTTCCATAGCTTCCTGACCATACTCTTCTCTCAGGATAAAAGCCTCATGAGATGTCTCTGTATCTGCCCTGGACACAGTTTTGTCCTTACACTTTGTTTACCCCATCTGGCTTGTTTACCCTGTGAATTCTAAGCACCCAAACAAATGCAGCCGGTACCACCAAGACAACCACAAAGGAATGCAGCAGCAACAGCAGGTAGCGTGTTGGAAACTCCGGCATGTGTCAGGCACTGCGCAGAGTTATTCATACGCATTATTTTATTAACCTTCACAAAACCCCTAGGAGGTAAGACCAATTATTAGCCTCATGTTACAGTGGTAGAAACCGACGCTCAAAAGTGTCAAGGCATTTACCAAAGGTCACAGACTCAGTACCAAAACAGATGGAATTCATACATAATTCTATCAGACAGTCAAGCCGTGCTCCTAACCTCTAGGCTGCCTTGCCTAAAGCGATTTCCCTCCTCCTCTGACTGCCGCCAACTCCACCCAGCTCATGCCTAAGTTTTCATGTTACCAGTATTTTACTAGCATCCTCTTCAGTGCACATGTTCCTTGTCCCCGGTCACACAGTAAGCCACGGGAGAAGAGGAATTACGTCTCTGGGCCCTTACAGATTCTACCTCCTGAGTACAATGAATGCTAACTGAACTGATGAAGAGAGAAACATCCTCCATCCTCCCCTTAGTTTTCTCTTCTTTCTTTTTATAAACTCATCCTTTAGGAGATGCGTTTTTCCCCCTCTCTTCTTCCCAGGACCACAGGGAGTTAAGGGATAAAATCCAAAGAGAGGAAAATCCTATGTTGGGTTCCTGAGTCTTATAACCAGGAAGATCATCCCTAACCCAAACCTTCTTGCATTTCCTCAGGACACCATGAATGAGGATTCCAGACCAGCCAATGGTTTTATGTACAAAATTAAAAACAAAACCAAAAGAAACCCCCACCTACTGTATGGAAATGACCTCCCAGCAGTGGATGTGGAGTGTGTATGAAACACAGATGAGTTTTGTGTTTAGATTTGGATCCTGCTTCTACAATGTGTCTTATATAAACATTTAAAAACCCACAGAACCTGAAACTCCAAACACTTCTGGTCCCGAGCCTTTCAGATAAAGAATGCCGGTTCTTCTGTATTTGCATACACTCTGTCAAGGCGACAGGCCTGACAGCATTTGTTGGACGACTTGGGAATCCTGAAGCTTTCACACACACTCCCCCACACCCCCGAGGCCTTTGCATGGCTGCAGATATTCCACAGGGAAGATAAAGTTCCCCAAACCCTAGTTGTCACTAGGAACCACTGTGGGACTGAATGACTTTCCTGAGAATAATAAATGCAGTTGACAATTACACAGCCCGGTTTATACATGACTAAAGTGTGTCTGTTAACTCATCCATGTAAAATTAACCACCATGGGACCACACAGATCATTCTGTATATGGAGAAATGTTAACTTGGGGCTCAGTTGTCAGGAAGCTGTTGGACACTGGGTTAGTCATTGTCTTTCTCTAGACCTCTGTTTGTCCTGATATTCTGGAATATTAATTAAGACAATGTGATATTCTGAGCTTGTGGCAGTCCTAAGATTTTAGAATCCAAGAAACAAAATACTGGGATGCTGGAGAAGGTGCCACACCTGGGTGAGAAGCAGGGCTTTGCTCATGCGCTCTGCTACTTTTTTCCAACCCCAAAGCTCTGCCTTATTTAAGGCCTACACACATCTACAGAGGCACTCATGCACTCCGGCTGTACCTGTGCCACCTTTCCTGTTCCCAGAGGAAGCTGTGGGCAGCCCACCCTTGTCCTGGAGGCCTTGCAAAGTCATCTCTACATCCCAGTCCCTCACCTTTCAAAGATGCCTATACCGTCTGTGGGCTTTGCCTGCTAAATACCAAAGGTTTCACAAGGCACCAGCCTTCAATCCCCCCCCCCCCACCGTGGGAGGTGGGAGAGGCGGATGGCCTGCATCTGGAAGGCATCACCAGTAAACTACGCCCCCTATCATTTGTTACAGGGGGAAGTGACAGTTTGTATGTTTTTGTTTTGTTTGTTTCTTTTCCTTTTTGTCTCTTATAAGACTGCTTCAATTGAATTTGAGCTAATGAGGGAGGCTGGTGGGCAGACATGCTTGCTCAGCCAAACCAGATGCTATTTCTGTGCCCTTCTCCAAAACATGCTCTGACACCATGGTACGGCTATGTGGACAGAGACTCGGAAAGCACACACCTTCTAAAGGCAAGGCCCAGGAACGGTGGAGCTCACACAGGAAAACAATCACAGTGATTAGGCCAGTTCAAATACGGAGTGTTAGGTCAAGTCTGCCCCTGGTGACAGTGTGTGTGGATGGGCCCATGCTGTAACTGCAGAGCTGTTTTCATTTGCAAAGGAAACTGAAGTCTGAAGGCTCAGATCTACGGGACCACAGTTACACAGAATGCTACTACTGGGGAACTAACAGGGACCTATCTATGATTTCTTGACATTCCCTGCCAATCAATAATGGTTTTAAAGTAAAATGTGAAGAACAAACAAATGAAAGTCAAGTGCAGTAGGAATGGACTTGAGCACATGTCCCCAAGGTCCTGGCACACAAGTTCTAATGCTGTTTCATACGTGGCTGGTGACGAGCCCGTTTATGACAGTGAGGTCATCACCATCACTATCATCACTGTCACACCACAAACACCATCTTTAGGGCTTGAATTCATGAAATACTATGAAAGAGACTTTTTCTTTTTTCCCTCCCTCCCTCTCTCCCTCCCTCTTTTCCTCCCTCTCATTCTCTCAATTGCCTAGAATACCTGTACCAGATTACTACTCCCATGCTACACAAGACCCTTGGAGAAGCTAGCTGGCACCACAGCCATGCAGTCTGGGTGTGGCCAAGCCCTGACCTAAGAAGAACAGGGCTTTGTGAAGCTCTCCCTCTTCCAAGCCACCAGGAACGCCCTCCTGTCTCTCACTCCCTTCCAGACAGCCCAAGTGAGTTCAGTCTGTGCCAAAACACCAAAACCAGCACTACTTACAGGTTCTTCACGCCTGTGACACCTCTGAACGCCTTCCTCGGGATGCCCTGGATCTGGTTTTCGCTCAGATCTCTAAACAAGAAGAGAAGAGGCAAAGCAGTTAGAGACCCAGAGCACACTCTCTGCACCTCATTATGATAACAAAACCCTTGGAGGCTGGCCTGCAAAGCCCACCAGAAGGGCTTGAGGGGCTGTTTAGTCTCAGGGCCCTGGCTGTTACAAGCCTGCACATTGTTCTGCAAGTGAGGACTTCTGCAGAAATGGTTATCAAGTGCTGGGATGGGGGTGGGGGTGGGAACAGCTTGCTTCAGGGCCGGCTCTGTGGGTGGTCTCACACCTCCAGGCCAGGAGCCAGGACTCTCCTCCTTATCTGTTACACACACTGCACCTTATTCAGTTTTGACACCTCCTGGACAAGATTCTTACTCCCCTCCCCTCAAGACATCCCTCCCAAACTAACCTCCCTTTTCTTGGGCAGGTCTTTGAAGTTCAAGTTCTCTGCTCTTGGCATTTGGGGTTGGAACTGAGCCTGATCACTGGGTTTTCTGATAGGGACAGAGGGCCTCTTATGCATTTCTGCACCCCCCCATTTAAAACCGGGGGGTCCCACCCCTCATTCTACATGGAGGGATGTCAACACACTGGCTGCATCGAAGCGGGTATTAGGGGTACCCTGTGTGGCTGGCTCCAACCCAAATATTCTCCAAGGATTTAAGTACTCTCTAGAGTTCCGATTTCCTTCTCTAGGAAACCACACAGGCCATTTTTGGTTTGTTTTGTTCTCTGGTTTCCTTTTTCTTTTTACTAGACCAAACACGTGCATTTGTTTTCATTCAGACCTCAAGCCTGCTTGGATCTCAGTAAGTAATCAATCCGTAAAGACCCATCAGGGCCCCAGGCACACGAGGCAGCTCTGCCAAATGCTGCAAGCAGCAGGGCGATTTCTGTACAGCCATGTGCTGCAGGATCATCTTCAAAAAGGATGGTGGGAAGAAGATGCATGTGTGAGGATGAGGTTGCCTGACTGCTAGGCTTCTAAGTTTTCTTCCGATATCAAAGGTGCATATATACACATACTCGTATACACAAATATATACACCGGGTATTTTGAAAAGAAAACCCCTCAAATAATGAAGGGAGAACATCCAACCATAGACATAACCACTGCTAACAATTATACACAGTGTATATAAATTTCAACGACAGGACCTCTTAACATACGGTCTACTCTAAACCATTTTTTTTCACACTATATTGAGAACATCTGCCCACATCTCTGCCAAACACATCAATGCCAACATTTTGAATGGCTGCACCATATCTAGCTGTATGGTACCTTCTATGGCTGTGTATTGTTTAGTGGGTGTTGGCTCAACTTCCATCAGGTAAGGAGACACCAGAATTAGATGAGCTGGGTGGTTCAGCAGGTAAGGAGCTTGCTTGCTGACCAGACCTGACAACCTGAATTTCATCTCTGGAACCCACATGGTAGAAGTAAACAGATTCCTACAAGTTGTCCTCTTACCTTTACATATGTGCCTCAGCTTGTGTGTGCACATGCATACACCTGCGTGTGCACACACAAAACGTAAGAAACATTCTTTTTAAACAGAAACAGCAGGACACATTTCCCTGTCTATATCCTTGGGGTACTTCCCAGGCATTCCTTTTGCACAAGTTTCTACAGTGAGAACTTGCTGGTCACAGATTAAACCCGTGAGTTCTCCTACAGATAGATTTGTGACGGATGCTCACATGCTGGTTTTTGAGGGCACCTCCTCAAAAGCTACAGAGAACTTCAAACACACATGGAAGAAGAGGGCAAGCAGCCATGTACCGCTGAGCCAGCGGTCTACAGGGACACTTTGCAAAATAGGAGGAGGGGGAACCAGAAAGCAGAAGAGAGACATCATTCTTTTTTTTTTCTTTATCTGTCACTCTCTGATAAGCAAACACATGCTCTAAACAGCTGGGTGAACCTTGTGACAGTTGGGCTAGCCTCAGGCTACTTTGAGGCTCCAAACCAATACTTGCTATTTGGATAGGGTGTACCTATGAGTCCTAAACACTTCTGGGGCTTCCTAGCGGAGTGCTCCCCCATCTCAAATTCAGCTTCCCTTTTCTACAGGGGATGTAAGTAAATTCTGGTGCATAATGAGCTGTTGCAGGCTCCCCCAGCCAGGCCTGATTCAATGAGCGGGGCTCCAGCCTGGAGTCGGGGCACTGAACAAAAGCCCATGATGACAGCAGAGGTCAAGCAGTGTCACCTAGGCCACTCGGCTATTCTCCATCAGTCTCCACAGAGGGGGCCCAGGTCCTGTCATCCGACTAATGCAATTTCCACCAGGCATCTGGGCGGCACTGGAGGATCCTGCAGCCACAATGGGCCCAGTCTTTCCTGTCAAAGCCAGTCTCCAGACCACAAGTGTCTGTCCAGTACTTTCTCAGCCTTTGCTGTTATCTCTAGCTGTTAGGGAGATGGGACCTGGCCACATGTCTGATAAATGGCCGATGAGGAAAAAATAAATCAGGGGAAGGGAGGAAGAAATCAAATAGGAAGAAGGTTTAGAACTGACAGCTTTAACCACTGCTGGAAGCTGTAAGAAGGTGGCATCTATTTCTGAAAGGGCAGTAGCCCATTTTGAACAGGATTCCTACCATACATACAGGGGAAGCACAGTAGCCAGCATAGTAGAGACACTATAGAAGTTGTGCCTTACAGTGTGGGATAAAGATAGACTCATGGTACTTAAACAAAAAGAGACAGTGTGGTGAAGGGAGGCGGTTCTCATAGGCAGTCCATGGGCACAAAACCCTGTTTGGGTGAAACAGCTGCTTTGGTTTTACTGGCTACCACATCCTTTCTGTAAATGTACCCAGCTCTGTTTCTACCTTAAAGAACCCACTACAAGGCAGAGCTTTCGTTCCTGGCTCACTGTCACTGCATCCCCACCCCCACAAACCCCATCCCAATTCAGTAAAATAGTAGATGGTAGGGAATTTATCCATTCCCCGTGACAATCTGCTTGTAAATTTTATTAATTTTATTTTCTATTGAGCCTCTCTTCTCCAGCTAACAATACCGCAGCCATGCATCTACAGGATTGTATATTGATTTCATAAATACCTCCAGTGGGCTGACAAACGGACAGATTTAATGGTGTTACTGATGGGGTGTGGAGGAGGGGTCAGGGCTGGGTGCTTCTTTTTTTTTCGGTAACCATCCCTTTACAATTATCTCAGGGCCTTTGTGAGGCTTCCTAATAGTGTGTTTATCTCGGCATGATGTCTGAGCATGGAGCTATTGTTATGTCCGATCCTTGCGACAGACAAGAGCAACCATTTTGGCTAACAATGAAATAAAAACAACAAATTCTATCCATGATGTCCAAGAGCCTAGTTCTGGTCAATTGCTTGCTTGGATTTTAGGATCTAATCCTTCATAAGAGAGAGATACACTCAGAAATGACCAGAAAGGCATTTTTTGAAAACCTTAAACAGAAGGGAGGAACAAGTTCAAGAAAGGCTGGGATGTGCAAAGTGCCCTGGGTTTTTTTGGAGAGGGTGCCAGGAAGAAAAATGGCAGGTCGGGAAGGCATTCTTGGTTGGGAAGTGGGCTACGGGATCAGGATCAGGATGCCTTTTTAAATAATTAGGCCTCTGAAAGCTAAGGAGAAGTGCATTAGCTAAAGTGCATTTCCCAGCTTCCGGAAAATGATTAACCATCCGATTATTCCATCCCAAAACACAGGACCAAAGAGGACTTATTAAGGAGACACTAAGTCAAATAGGAGTTGGCAAGAAGGGACATATCCTGCATCCAGCCAGCCCTCTCCCAGCCTTTTTAATTTACTAAAATGCTTTGGACACAGATTAACTTTCTTGGCAAATTTATTATTGTTTCATCTACCTTGAAACAGAAACCGCGGACACTTTGATAAATGGATTGAAAGGTTGTCTAGTTCCAGAGGAGCTTTTGAAATGCTTCTTGGGCTCTCCCCGCAATGTCAGGCATGCTTTGTTCTCAGGGCAAAGTGAATGACAGTCCTTGTTCCCACCCCTATCCCTGCAGAGTGAAGTACTCCTGTGGGTACTTGTGTTTTGGGTACATTTATTCTAACCTGTCTGTGTTAAATGGCAGTTTATGTGTGGGGATGGGGATGGGGGGGAGGAGAATATGCTCCAAGGTTTCAAACACAAATGATTATAAACTTATAAACTGGGTGGAAACTTCCAGAAACATTGTGAATGCTTGTTCCGGAAGTTTGTGGCATGACATCTACATTGCATGATCATTCAAGTTGCTTCAATACTCTGGTTTAGTTCCCTCGTTTTCAAACGTGATTACTGGTTCACCAGCTTCCCCAGTAGTGGGAACAAACCGTGGACACACCCAAAGTGTTTTGTACCCCTGCAGCACAGAGAACATTCTGCAAACTGTGCTTTTACTTCTTGAGTTTCTCCCTCGTTTAGGTTTGGACTTATGTAGCTAAAAATGTCCCCAGTTGTTACCTGCAGTACACATACTTAAGACTGAGCACGGAATAAAACACACTAGTGTTATCAGTAGTCCCTCCATAAAATCTGAGGCAGAAGCTTCCCTCGTCTAGCATCTATACAGGACTCCTTATATTTGAGTCTGGATCATTTCGTGATGGTTGAAACAATAGAGATTGATTCAAGTTAAAGGTTGAGACTGGCCAGGGAAACCGGTTAGTGCTTCGCTCCACACATGAGAGAAATTTCCTCCTGCAGCAAACAGGAACAAATACAGACAGATAAACAGCCAGAAAACACCCAGAAAGTGAGAGACACTGGAACACTCAGCCCTAAATGGGATGTTGCCATTAAATCCCTCCCATCAGGACTCAGGGACCTCTGCTGAAGAGGAGGTGGAAAGACGGAGTCAGAGGGGACAGAGGACACACAGGGAAGCAAGGCCTGCTAAACAGTGTAAACTCAGACGGTGGCATCATGCACTGGCCCTCCATGGGTCTATATCATGGGGTCCTAGGACTAAAAGGAGAAGTGGATATATGCCCCATCCCTAACCCAGAAGCTATCTCCAGTTG